CCCACAATATAGTGCATCCATCTCTTAACTTCCATTTTGTGCCATTAATAAGCCCAAGATCCCATTTTATACCCAATACTTTACAGAATACTGTAAAAACAGCATGCAGTAGAATATACGTTGTTATAAAAGTGAGGACCTGTATAGTATGTGATTTCCAATGCTGTTCCCAGTGTCCCTAAAGCAAATGTATATGTCATTTAGGTAAAGCAAGTGCAGCACCAGGTTTTTCGGAGTTTTGATGCACGACACCGGTGGCATTACATTGCTGTCCATCACACTCAACAGTCAGCTTGTTGACTGCATGTTTCTCAAACCTGACAGCATGTCTCCTCCGGGGCTCGGTTGAGCAGAGAAAAATACGCTTGCCAAAACTCTCAGACGTGTCCATTTCTAAAACGTGCATGCCTCGCGGGTTGCCCATAAACTTTCGCTGTCATGTTATCCGTGAGCTTCTGTTTTTAGAAGCATAAAGTCTGCAAACAGTAATGATCTGATTTGCGTATAAATGAGATATGGGCAACAAGATTGCCTTGATCCTGCACTTATAAACTGCTTGGATCGGCATCTTTCTTCGTAGATGCCCTGTATTTATAAACTGTGCCGGAAAGCTTGTTTTACTCTGCGAGGTTGCCCAGGAGAGATTCACTGTTGCATTTCAAACAGCGCTGAAACTGTCAACCAAGTGTTTTCCACAAAGACTTAATTGCTTCATTTTAGGCAAACTTTGCGGTGCATGGTTTTGTTCTTAGTTGAAAACGCTTGAAGCACGTACGGGTTTAGAAATGACTGAGACTAGCTTGTACAAATTAACATGCATGAAAAAAGTAACACTGTATTTGTGCTTGTAAAGACAAATGTTCTGAATCGTAATTGTGAACAGCTTGTTGTAGAAATCATTATGCATTAAAGTTATGCATATTTTCATATTTCAATCACTGTTCAAAGAAAAGATCCTTGCTTGGGTAAATCAATGATGTTTAACCACTGTAAAGACAAGATATATGAAATTGCATTCTGCTAGTAAATGTGTGCCAGTCCAACTTCTTCACAATGAAAACAATGTAGCAGAAAACAACAGAAAGAGGATAATGGCATAATTTTGTGTCATTACAATTGCTTTGATCAGTGCCCCATCAAAGATGATTAGTCTTTTTTTATAAAGATGCATTCAGGAATCTTTGGAGTGGAGCACTGCATCATGTGATTATGATGTGTAAATGGCTTCTCACTTAATTTTTTTTCTCTTGATGGTTTTTAGTTTGTGTCTAAAGTCTCTTTTAAAGCAAGTCACTTCACTCTGTAGTCATTAATTAAATGGTTGCTTGCTTATGCTGAAGCTCTTTTGAATTTGCTTTGTCTGAGCTGTTATTTTATTTCAAAGATGCTAACATACAAAATTGCTTGCCAGCAATGTAAACATACATTAAATTCAATGTGAATTGCTGTGTGCAACCCATTTTCTTCTGTAATGTGAATAACTGTATTTCCTATGAAATGGGCATTCAACAAGAGAAAGTGTAGGATGGAACTTAAAACTTCAAAATTAAAATGAAAACTGAACGTAAAATAATCCTGATAGATAGATATCATGCACTGATGAATGATTCCCAGTAAGACCAGGAATCATTTTATAAAGTGTAGTGTCAATTCTGATGTCTTGTTGACTTATAAGGTAATGTAATAACTGCTCACATTCATCTCAGATTTGAGTAAAAACTGTATGAATCAACTGAGCACCAGTAAGTAAACCAGCAACGTGAAGACGTGAACGTCTGCTCTATGTATCTCAAACAGCTGTATTCAGTTAACCAGGAAAAGACAGAAAATTAATTTAACCTTACACTCAAATCCCCACAGAGTCTCTCTCAGAGTAATTAACACTGAAAGGTCATCTCAGAGAACGGATCTAAGAACACTTGGGGTAATTTTCAGATGTTCCTATGAAGTGTGTCATTAATCAGTCTCCTGTCTCTTTTGGCTGTTATCACCACATTTCTTAATCAAGCATTTGTCCTGTTTCAAACTGAAAAGAAACTTTACGAAAAGTGATTTATATCGCACTTGTGATTGTGCACAAGTTGCCATTGTGATGCTACAGCACTGTATAAAAGCAACTTTCCAATTTATGGACCTTTTGAGTGAATTACTTGAAACTACATAAAAACCCATTTTAGGACAACAGAATTCACTAACACGTTAGATTAGGGAACACTGTTTACTATTAACATGATGCTTACTAGCATGCATATTACTAGAATGTTGGCTGTTTATTAGTACTTATAAAGCACATATTAATGCCTTATTCTGCATAACCATATTCTAGATCCCTACCCCATACCTAAACTTAACTACTACAACACAACCACCACCTTGCTCACTATCAATAAGCAGCAAATTATAAAGTTTATTGAGGGAAAACTCTTAGTTTTGTTGTTGGCTGACTTTGGTTTAAATTTTTGTCTTTGTTTTCTCGCTATTGTTATTTATTTATTGAGGGGATGTTAAAAGCTCATCTTTTTACGTTGGTTGATTTGTCACCATTCTTGTGATTTGTATCTATGTGCAACCTTCAGAAACTATATCCCAGATGTATTTGTAAGCATTTGTTTTGAATACACCTTTAGAAGCATTTATGGAAGCACAGTTGAATTCATATATTAAGTGTTCTATAAAAATAACAGTAGTCGAGAGGACATCAAAATCTGAATGCATCAAGTTGTGTTTACTTTTTAGAAGTTAAAGCACAGCTCTCTTTAAAAACAGCAGCAGAATTTGAACTATCCTTAATGTCTGTTACAAAAACATTGTTTATCTTCTTCACTTTCAATCCCTATTAGTTTTCCAGAATGTCTCTAAAGTAGGGAAACACAATTGACCAGATGCCATAATTCATTTATTAAAATGACAAAACATTTGAAATGAATAAGTAAAAGGCTTTTTGGTTAATGCACCCTCAAATGTCCAGAAGCTCTAAGAGGCCAAGCATATCGTTTTTTTCCCTGTCTTTTCTCATTATCGTAATTTAATTTCTTTGAGGTCTTAACAAAAGATTTCTCATGATGGATGAGTTTGACACACATTATAATGCTTGTTCTAATCGTAATGTGCAAAAAAAGCACCACCAATTATGATTGATTGGCTTTTTGGTTGGTTTATTTATATATTTATTTAGGATATAGTGGCTATATTTTATGTCAAATAGTTATGCTCTTTTACTTGGTATTTTCAGTTCAAAGGTCACAGCTTCTGGGGATTTACATCATCAGGTCATTCACCACATTCCTCTTTTATGTTGGCTATACTCTCACTTTATGAGAATAGAGATGTACACACACACACGCACGCACGCACGCACACACACACACACACACACACACACACAGGAGCTGTGTTGTGTTGATGACAAATGACTAGGCTGTCCCCCAGTGAACGAATTAAAGTGAGACTTTAAACAGCTTTTAATGAGACTGTTGCTGATCGTGTGTGTGTGTGTGTCTGTGTGTGCATGTGTAAGTGTTTGCTTGTGAGAAGAAAAAGGAGAGAGCAAGACTGATGACCTTTAAAAAACATTTTACTTTAATGTTAAAGCTGTCACTTTTGCAGTTAATACACAGTGGATGCATATAGATAGATAGATAGATAGATAGATAGATAGATTCCCTATCTAAAATTCCCTAAAACTTACTATAAAGTGAAATTTAAAATAAAAACCAAAAATATAAAAATAAAAGTTAATTCATTATTAATAAATACAATAAGAGTTTATAAATAATACAGATACTGTATATAGATCTAAATAGAAAAAATAGAAATAAAGCTCAAATTTAAAAACGTAAATAGAGTAGAAATGTTGCGTTGGCAACTAAATACATTTTTTTTTAAGTTGAAGTAAAAAATTTGTCAAAAACTAAAATAACAATGAATTAAAGCTATAAAAAAATTAAATTCTGATAAATTTAAAATTAAATTACAAATAGGACCCCCTTGAAAACGAGATGATGCATCTCAAGGGGTTTATCTCAAAGAATAAATTTGTTGCAACAATTAAAACATAAAAATAAAAGCAATATTAATAAGTACTACTGTAAATAATGCTATAACAGGGATGAATGGATGGATGGATGCATGCACGTCACAGACGAATGTTTTTATGTATAGTGCAGGCTATTCTAAATATAAAGCATGTTGGTTAAAAAAAAAATAGATGAAAGATCTTCACATAAAGCCTCTCTATGATTGATTCCCATCTGTGGATTATTTAAGCGCTGCTCGAGAGCCTCAGGATTACCATCAGCTCTTTAATTCCAGAAGCTGAGGAAGGCGAGGAGGAAGATTCCGGAAATCTGTGATGTGTAATTAGTCCCCTTTGTGTCAAGCTGCTAAATCAGACTAGCATTGTTATCCCATGTGAGACTCAGGCAGTGTATGTGACACGTATACATGCATGCATATAGTCTCCCTGCCACACACTTTTACTTAGAAGCACCTGGTGTCTGTAATCATATGCACTGCTGTAATATAGTGTAAAAAGAAAAGCTCTTAAAGGGGCTAAATGTGCAGAGACAAATGTAACTAATCCATTTGTGTGTTGACTTCTTGAAGATATCTGTAATACCTGCTTGTAAATTCAATACATGTATAATGCAAACTTGGCATTCTCAGAATATGCCTTCTGTCTCACATTCACAATATATAAACACACACTAACGACAGTGTTTTAATTAAGCAGAAGCAGAATGATAGTGTAGTCCTGTTAGCTGTGACTCACTCTTACATAACTGTCAGACACTCAGAAGGGTCATTCATCAAAGACACCATGAACATGAACTGCTTCAACGGTGTTTGAATCAAACATACTTTGCATACTAGGTTTGTGCAATAAACAATCTGTGTTGTCTGTCAGCAATAACATGAAAATTATTAGGCTTTCTTTCATAGCAACATGCTCACAGTTAAAAAAAAAAACCCTGGTTTTTGTATTCTTGTGTGTGTTTCAGAAGACACTCGTACCGAACGGGACAGGACATTGAGAACTGTGGCACATGCAGAGACTGCGCCTGTATCATATACAGGTAAGACACCTTTATGTGCAAAAATGCATAATTACATAAAGTATTTGCACAAATAAACTCGGTGGAAGTCATACTATGGAATGGAGTTTAAATAAATTGTCCATTTTAGGTCTTAGTATGCAGGAGTTTGTGGGAAGGCGTTTAGGGAAATATGCAACTGTCTGTGCTAAATAGTGAGTTGACTGTTAAATATGAGCTCAACTATTAGTTTTTAAATTCTGGTGAATAATACATTAACATATAAATAAAATGTGGTCTTTATATGTTTATATAGTGTGTGTATGTGTGTGTGTGTGTGTGTGTGTGTATATATATATATATATATACAACAGTTATTTCTGTTTTTTTTCTGCTTCTTTCTGATTGGCTGAGAGCCTTTTCCAGCCGTGCAATATTCTAGTGATAACAGAGCTCCAACCGCTTCACCATTTGTATTACTCCGCTTGTGGTATTTCTCACAGCGGGTGTCATGGCGGATGCCCAAATCCACTTTAATTTTATAAATAATACTGTTTTTGTGTCATGGAATGTAGTTTGACGAGATTTTAGCTGAGAATGTAGTTGTTTGGACTTCAAATATGCAGTCTGTTAAAAAAAAGAACGTCTTGATTTGATTTACCATTTTCGGAGATGTGAGCTTCAGGGCGTCAGTGGCCATTCAGCGCTCATGAACCCGCCGAGAGCAATACGTTTTCAATGAAGCACCTCAACGTTCCTTCGTTACTAGTTCTAAAGTGACGTTTTGGAATTATTAACGGAGTTTTGGTCTCAGCTGTTAAACTGTCAAACTGAGATTTGAATCTGTGGCAGAAGAAAGTAATTCCGCACAAAAGAGGGTTTTTAAAGAAACTCCGTTGTTGTTTCTTATGTATTTACACACTCATACCATCATCTTTAGTATAAATACAATATCACACTCGTAGCCGTGCGATATGGCTGTATATCAGCACGCTGTGATTACCTACGGCCAAATCACAGCCGTGCTGATATACAGCCATATTGCACTGCCACTCATATGATATTGCTCATATATACAGTAGACTGTCTAATATGCTGGTTTGGTGCTCAAGAAACAAATATTATTACCAGTATTGAAAGCAGTTGTGCTGCTTAGTATTTTTGTGCAAACCAGGATGAAAAGAAAGAGCAGCATTTATTTGAAATATAAATCTTTTGTGACATTATAAACGTCTTTACTGTCACTTTTGATCAATTAAATGCATCCTTGCTGAATACAATTATTATTATTATAATTACTGACCCCATACTTTGTAACTGTAGTGTATATATTACATCTATATTAATTATTTTATTCATATAATGTAATTTTTAATCGTCATATGTTAAAAGCAAGACAAATATGTGACCCTGGAGCACAAAAGCAGTCTTAAGTCGCTGGGGTATATTTGTAGCAATAGACAAAAATACATTGTATGGGTCAAAATTATTGATTTTTCTTTTATACCAAAAATCATTAGGACATTAAGTAAAAATCATGTTTCATAAAGATATTTTGTAAATTTCCTACTGTAAATATATCAAAACTAAATTTTTGATTAGTAATATGCATTGCTAAGAACTTAATTTGGACAACTTTAAAGGTGATTTTTTTTGCACCCTCAGATTCCAGATTTTCCAGATTCAGAGATTCCAACTATTGTCCTATCATAACAAACCATACATCAATGGAAAGCTTATTTATTCAGCTTTGAGATGGTGTATTAATTTCAATTTCACAAAATTGACCCTTATGACTGGTTTTGTGGTCCTGGGTCACATATGGCAAAAAACAAAAACAAAAAAGTTTCCTAAAAATCTGTATTTTCTTCCAAGAGCATCAAACCAGGTCTAGGTACTAAACTCAAACCACTTGAGAACTATACGCTTTGCACAATTCTGTGAATCTGTCTCAGTTCACTTGGAAACAATATCATGTTTACAAGTTCCCAGTCTGCTACTATGAGGGCTTCCAAGAAAAAAATAGCTGCATTTGGCAAAGTCTGTGAGGTTTGTGCCATCGTGTCTTTGAAAGATATTCAACAGTTTTGTTTGAGACAGTAGCAAGTAAACAAGCCAAGTGTCCTTGAGCGTGTCTTTATATTATTTGACTGCGCTTTTAGGGCTGTATCTGATTTACCTGCACCTAAACAAGTCATCGTACATATCGGTCAGACAGTCTTAAAATGAACGATTCTTGGCCAGAATGTGCTGCAATGTGGATCAGACGGTCAAAAGTCTGGCTATGTGAGACTAAATCTAAATGAGTGTCTGGAAAGCAATGTTAGTTCGCCAATGCAATATATAAAGTTAGTAGAGCCTGTACAGCTGATTTCTTTTGGAAGAAAAACAAGTGGAGGAAATCTGTGATAGTGTGTGTCGCAACCAAACAGATCTAGCAGGCAGACCTGATCAGCTGGGTGGCTGAAACCTCCAGGCGTGTGAATCAGTGTTCAGAGCGCTGAGGAAGATCCAGGTGGACATTCAGGAAGTTTCCCTCTCCCCATGAGCCCAAGGTATAATTGCCTGGGCTTACGTAACCTCCCCCACTGCACAAGGTCTACCGAAATCAATAACAGCGGCCCACGTCACCACACATTTTCATCTGCTCCAACCCAGAATGAAGGTGTGAATAACACTCCCAGAGGAGACCTGGAGAATCACAAACACTCGCACGCACACACATATATGGACATGTGTGGTTTGTTTAAATTAGGAAGGTTGTGGAGTGACACAGACAATAATACTCACTAAAAGTCAATATTTGCAACCCATTTACCTTTTGTATGCTCTTAAAAATAAAGGATCCAAAAGGGTTTTTTGCAGTGATGCCTTAAAGAACCATTCTTTGGTTCCCCAAAGTGCCTTTCAATGGTATGTTCTTAGAAGAAACATTTTTTTCTTAGAACGTTTTGTGGAATAGAAAGGTTCTATGGATGTTAAAGGTTCTTCATGGAATTAACAGTGACAATAAAGAACCTTTATTTTTAAGAGTGTAATGTGACTTTATTTCTGACAGAACGGAGGTTGAGTGAAAACAAATGTAGGGCAGAACTTGATTTTGTCCATTAGGAAACGATTTGATTGTGAAATATGGGTGTTACTGGTTGAAAAGTATGATGGAGCACAATAAGACCTGGGTTATTTATTTAGAACATAAAGTGGATCAATTTTGATTTCATGTTGACATCAAAGGTTTTTCTTTCAAGCTAATAAAGGAGATTTAATTCTCGATTATGTTTTATTTGAGTATCAACTAGGCCTGGGCGATAAAAAAGTATCGATATTTATCGATGGTACACTTTCTTCGATATCGATAGAAAAAATGTTCGATATAGCGCACGATATAGACACGTACTATGAGTGATGCAGACAGCACACACAAACACGTTAGACCTATACAATAAAGACCTATTTAATCTGCATAGAAAACATTACAAATGAGATATGTTGGTCATGGATGAATTTGATAAAAAATGTTCGAGTTCATGCTGAGAGCTCAGACTTTTGAATGCACAATTTAGTTTGTTGTCAAATCTGATCACAGTCTGAGAGATTTTGTCTGAAGCTCTAGTAGAGAGCTTAATTATTTTTAATTCATAATAATTATTAAAACAGTAAGTAATCTATTATGTTCATGAGTACAAATGCAATTAAATGCAATATGTTTTATGGGCATTTTAGTTTATGTTACAGCGTATATAAGCAGTTTTGCTACTATGTTAGTTCTAATCTAATCTAGGCCTTGAAGCAAAACCAGTTGAGGAGACACATTTTATATCTATAGGAGATGTCGTTTGTCATTTTTGTTTCCTGCGGGTATCATCTGTTGATGTCCAGTTTATGCATCATCCTATAGACAGCACCAGATGAACATATGCTGGAATTTTAAAGCCGTCTTTACTAAAATCAGTCAGTTAACAGGAAAGGAGATTGTTCAGTATGATGAGAGCTGGCAGCCTGGCATTGAGGACGGGGATCCACGTCTGTGAGCTCAAAAGCACAGAAACAGATGAGCTGAGAGTGAGACGGAGAGGTAGAGAGTTGCCAGGTCCCTGCTGAGATCCGAGGAAGAAAGAGAGAGACTAAAAAGGAACACGTCCAAGTCTGAGTGCGACTCCATCTGTGGGGGGAAATGAAAGCGAACCTGTGCTTCAAGAGCCGGTGAATGAGAGACGCAGGTATGGAGGAAGAAAGCGGGAGATGGAAAGGATAAATTTAGAGAAATTTCATTATTAATCACCCATTTGCTTTCAAATGACTCAAAGGTTTTAAAAATATAGTGCACAATCATATGGACTTTTTCTGTGATGCAAATCATCATACAGAAAGTAGACAATATGGGTGAGCAAATGACGACTTTAGGAAGAACATTTTTATAAGGTTTTTGTTGTTGTTCTTAGACATCTCATGGCATTTTAAGCTACATATGTTGATTGAAAGCATGACTTTTGACCTTTTGGCACATTTGAGGCTGTGTGTACTATTGTACAGTTCTTTTTAGTTTTAGCTCCAGTAAAACTGAAAAAACTATTTCATAACCCTAATAAAAAAAAAAGGTTTGCTGATTTTTAACTGGTGTAAGTTGGTTTAGCAGATCTCCTAACACATCCAAACATGGTTCAGCTGGTCGTTCAACTGCAATGTGACCAAAACCCAGGTAAAACCATCACAACAGTCCAGTCTTTAGCTAAGTTGAGTGACCGAGTAACAACCTTAGCCTGGTTTAATCTGTTGTTCTCAGCAGGGAAAATGATTCCTAATGCATGCAACATTTTTTAAACTGCATCATATTCCAATATTACATCAGATGTGCATCCTATAAGTACCTGGAGATCATAGGCTAAGCCCAGTTATCTGTTGACCCTAGAACTGTCTCTGGACCTGGTTATCTTGCGCTGAGACTTCAGTGCAACTGATGGTGTGAGAGACTCAATAGAGAGTATTACAGATAAAATGAGAGAAGTGGACAAGAGCCGAGCTGCTTGTGTGAGTGTGAGGGG